GCGTATTTTTTTCAGTCAAAGTGCCCTGATAATCCTGATTTTGACCTCTGAGATTATATAGAAAAACCACTTATCCTTATTCCCGTTCACCGTGCTATTCTTCCAAACACTCCTGTCATCACCTGATTTTGGCCAGACTGTTTCCCGTCTTGTGGTAATATTTTTTGTTTCTTGTCTCTACCACTTTCACAAAGTCCTAACCATGAATTCGAAGTGTGGTGTCCAAAGGAAGTCCTTGAAAAATAAAGTTTTGCAGCATGCACCCCTCGTATCTCTACCCTGATTACTTCCTGTCCAAGTTTTCAGGGCTAACGACGGCTAATGCGTCAGAAATGGCCATTCCAATCTCCCATGTCTTTGCCGATAATGGTACCTGTCTGGACTACTAGTCACTGTGTGGCTGCTGGTGGGACTCGAGCGTGAGCTCCAAGGCAGAGTGGGACGAATAGGTTCCGTTAGCGATCGGTGAACGTTAATCAACAAAGGACAGATGTGTGAGAGGTTTTTCGAAAAAAATAAGCAAGTTATTTTATTTTGAGTAAATTTCTAGTTGCGACAATGAAAATGCAGTTAATCCTACATTGACTAATACGCCAACCACATCCAAATAGTGCATTTTTAGAATCTTCAGATCCGTGGAAAAAAAGAAATTCGCACGCATCTGCGTCTAGTAGGGCAAGACACGTTTTCACCAGGAAAAGGGGTTCTCACGATTTGCATTGATCGTTCTATTTACTGGGATTGTTCCTAGCGGAGTTAAAGTCGCTCTTTCGAAAGAAAATATCGAATAGTATTGCTATAATCCTTCCGCGTAACCCGTTCATGTAAGAACACATTAAAACATACTTAGACCCAAAATACGTCTATAAAGAAGCCAATACTAGATTCGAGAAAAGGAACGGCGGCGATGACAAAAAAATAAGGCCTTAACAATATCCATAGGTATATAAGAACGTCTGGAACAACTTTTATTTTCGGAGCCTGATCTGCAACTCCTGATACCTATCAGAAAGCAGAATGAAGGCAAATATAAGACGCGCAAATTCGGAGGATTAAAACCCTTCAATTTTAAGTAATAACCTACTGACTCTGAAGCGAGTCAATCGTACTTTTTTCCCACTTGAGTGGAAAAACTGCGCAAGTATGGTGTGCGTTCATGCATTTTGTGCTAATAGTGCACTACCTGAAACGTGGTACCGACTTATGATTTTTGACCGTCAGTATTAGTAAACGGAAACATGGTTAAATCAAATAAAAAGGAAAAGGCACATGCTCGTTAGGTTCATTAAAACGGGGTTTATTTCCATTTTTTAACCAAAACTGCGCCCTTTGTCAGGGCACATTGTCGAGTAGTATACAGTGCTCGAAGTATTTTCAGTTATTCTAAGTTTATATGCATTGGAAAAAGCCGACTGCTAAAATATTTTTTTCGAAAATTTCAAAAACATCTAAGACGATAGAAAGTTTCCTTATTCGGATATTTTCGAGCTTAAACCGTAGATATGTTTTCCGCCTTAAATAATCCGTACAGCCAGAATAATAAATTTCTGCTGAATATTCTAATAAATGTAAAATCTCTAGTTTAGTTATTTTCGTTTCAGTGACCTATTTTGCATCTTTGGATTTTATTTTTTTAGGTTGTGCATCCCTTTCAAGCCATTACA